ATATGTCAAAGTGCTCGCCGCTAAGTTACGAAGACGAGCAACCGCTCATAAAAGATACATGCATGCACGCTGAATCGTTACAGGCCATGTGCATTTGGAAAGATGAGAAGCGTGTTCAGGTTGAGATGATAATTTTTTGTGCATTAGACTTTCATGCATTAGAAGAAAAACAAGGAAAAGAATATTCCAACTATTTTGGTGAGCCACATTTACAAGGAGGCATCAAGGAGTCCATGATGGATCTTGTGTGTTTGCTAACCAAGATCAGTTGCAACGTGAGGATCAAATATATATATTATTTTATATTCCTCTTCTTACCATGGAAAGAGCGTGTATGGAATGGATTGTTAATACGTGATCAGCTTACCTTAAAAGAAGTCGGATGGGGCCCACCTGCGGATAGAGATGCACTTGATGATGTATGGCGCATCAGTCCATATTAGTTCACGTTATGTTGTTTAAATTGGCTTGTAAAAGATTGCATGCTTGCATGCAAGTCATCCGGACGGTAGAGTCCAAGCCAGTTTAAAGTTTATTTAATTTTTTGTGTTGCCGTGCAAGTCTAGGATAGAAATATATTTGGTTTCCAACTTTGTTAGGTGTCGGCTGATATATAAAGCCAAGGTGCGTCACATGTAAGGAGGTTATTTTTGGAGAAAATGGACACGATGTGTTTTTAAGGGTAGACACCCGTATCAAGTTTTAGAGGGATCTTTAGAAAACCTCTGTGTTGCGATTTCTTTGTAAAAATTGTTTTTGCGCGTGAGTACCTTCGTCGAGATTGGTTTTCTCGTGCTGGGCCGCAAGGTTCAAACCCTCTACTTCGTGTACATCGCGTGCGCGGGCAAGAGGTTGCTATTGGTGGTGGTGGAGTGTCGTGAAAGATCGGGCCGCAACAACCGATCGGATCTCACTACGAGGTTCGGTCTCATATCATATATTTTGATACAGAGGCAGTACTTACTAGATAGATGTCCTTATGTTGCAACTGATATAGATATTCTATTGCGTTAGTCCATGATTTAGGTATACCTACGTATATTAATATGATTGCGTGAAAGTGGTTTTATTTGGCATAAATAGTAATCATTTATTGACTTGCCTAAGAAAATATTTATTTAGTATAATAGCTTGACTTTTTTGCATCTTAAGAAAAGATGCCATCTGTCCTCAAAGTACACCTGCCACATAACTCAAACCGAGTGTCGAGCTCAACTCCCCTCCTTTCGTTGTTCATGTAGAGCGGGTGACTGTTGTGATCAAACCTCCGCGGGAAATGATGCACCTTTCCAGAGTAGTCGAGCTTACATACAGTTTGCCAAACAACCTGTCTCCATGCAACGCCACTGCACCTGGTACGTTGATTTGACAAAGAATAATCCTTTAGAGTCAAAATGACATGCGATGAAGTCATCATGTTGCTCACTTAGAGGGATCCATAGTATCGATGTCGGCATGTCGCATCCGCCGCCCGAATGGTTTGCCTAACCAAATCCTCGTCCTAGGACTGAGAAATTGGGTCGATCAACTTAGATACCTAGTTTACCACCTTGCGTGGTAGTTGGTTCTCTCATCTCATCATTTGGGATCCAATGGTCCGACCACATTTTGATGCTTTCCCCAAAGCCAACCCTTCAGATGTACCTCTCCTTCACAATATATATGCCTTTAAGAATGCTTTTCTGTGTGTAACACCTATTGGCACACGGCTCAGTTGTCAGAATGCTCCCTGGTGGGTAGTACTTTGGTTTCAGCACTCAGACGCATAGGGAATCTGGGGCTTGTAGCAGCATACATGCATGTCTTGCAAGCATAGTGAGGTTAACTGAGTGCAGGCTTCTGAACCCCAACCCATCACTCGTCTTGGGTAGCTTTATCTTCTCCTATCCGACCTAGTGATCTTCTTCTCTTACTTCTATTGAGACCACCGGTACCGACATATCATCTTGCTGAGGTCTTCGCATAAACCCTTCCTAAGATCAAAACAACTCATACCATACATAGGATAGCTTGGGTGACGAAGTTCACCATTGTCTCTTTACCTTTCATCAACAAGAACCGTTTCAACCCGCCCTATTGAAACAAAAAAAAGAGTTTCAAATAATATCGAGAGTTCAGAAAAGTTTCGGAGGAGAAATTGTTTACCCCTATTTACATAGGAGGGCTCCGCAATTTTTCCGGAGCCCACTAGAAATGCCAGGAGCGCCATGGGCTACCCTAATGGCTAGGCCTTTAAGGGGGTAGCCAGCCGTAGATGGGCGCACGCCCTTGGGGCTGCCCCCTCTCCCAAGGCACCACCTCTCCCCTCCTCCTCCTAAAAATAGCGGAGGGGTCGGTCCCTCCTTTTGCACAATTCTCTGCGCAAGGCTGCCACCACCCTTCTCTCTCGTCCTCCATGAAAAAGTTCCGCCACACCACAAGGCCGCTCCACCCCCTCCTAGTTCTCCAACAACACTAAGTTCTGGACAAGGAAGCACTATTGGATCGGTGACTTCGTATGTGTGCAATCTGCCAGAGAAATCGTGCTTTCCATCTTTGTTCGAGGGAGAAAATTCTTGCGGTTGGGAGGTTGTAAATCCTAGTTGCAGGAATATGCACCGAGAATCTTCACCAACTTTTCTCTCGCTACTACTCCGAGTTGGTAAAGATCCAATCTAATCCCATGTGCATCTTCATGGTGTTCATGGGTTTGATTCATAGGACGAATTTTTTGTTTGTTTTCTACTACGTTTCTCAACATTAATTATCATCTTCATTCTTCCTCTTCTCCTCCCGTTAGTGCCCTCTGCTCTCCCTCCATCTCATCGGTACCATCCAAGACAAAACCCCTCATGAGCGATTTTGACATGTCCATACAGATCTTAACTATAGAGAATTTCCCCACCGCCATTCCATTAGGCCCAACATCAACCTCCAACCCTCACCAATGATGTCTCCTACTCTCTCCGTTCTAAAATAGATGACCCAACTTTATACTAAAGTTAGTATAAAGTCGAGTCATCTATTTTGGAACGGAGGAAGTACAACCGAACCCACCACACGGCACATCATCCCTAGAGGCAGATCAAAGACATAGACCCAAATTGGGATCTTCTGAAACACATACTACTTAGACTTTTGCGCGATCAAAATCTTCCAATATTAGCAAAGTCTTTCCAAACATCCAAGGCCCCTTGTCATGCACCTTTTTTTTGCCTGACTTATGATGAAAGGTGAACATGAAAATGTTGTTTCCCAAGTCTTTACAATCCAAACCTCGCAGCGGAACCAGATCCTCCTCAACGTCGTCATCATTCTCTCTGCAAAGCCTAGTTATCTAACATGAGTTTTCCCAAAGCTTGTAGTTGCACAACTCTCATCTTCTTTCCATCACTCCATGCAATCCTCCTCCATTTACTCTCTAGATCGAACAGTTTCAACCCCTTCATCAGGCCTTCCACACGATCCATCTGCTCCGTGAACAATTGGAATCAAAGACTCGAAAGAAGGGAACTAGGGTTTACTAGTGGTGTACGATTGTGCGCCCTAGCCGCACACCAAAGGCTTCTATGGTGGATGGGTGACAAGATGTGGTCATATGGCTACCCAATGCGGTGGTCGGGTTGCTGGGGGCTTAGATTTGCGGTGGATGTGTGCCGGCGCACACATCAGAAAACGGTGGAGGGAATCGCCTAACCAGTCACGAGAGAAAACTTAACTGTCACCCTTGGGATGCACCTCTAGCAAATCCATCAAGTGTTGAGAACTGAACCTGAACATATTTACGCAGAATATAGGCATGTCTTCAAATACAGCTCCTCGGAGAGAGATAGAGAAAAAGGACAGGCAGTGTCTTCAAATACGTCACCGTCTACCGACTAACAAAGTGCCATTTTTGTTTTCTTTTTTAAAAACGAAGTGCCATTTTATTTGGATGTAAGCACCCGGGACCTTTTTTTTTGGATGAGATAAGCATCTAGTAGGACTTCATCTTTGGTTTCAGAATGTCGCCTCGCTGTAATGGGTACGGGCGAGTTATTCAGTTTATCAGTCCTCTCTTTTCGCACTGAATTAACTTCACTCTCTGCACATCAGCAAGTCAGGCTGCACACATACGCCACCGAGACATGACAGTCCAGAAAACCTGAAGCACACAGTACGTCATTTAAGAAACAGCACTCTTTCATTGGATAGTAGCCGATTGCCAGCACTAACCATCTCAGTTCTTCAGTTTTCCATCTCTCTCAAGACATTTACTGCTCGCTTCAGAGACGAAGCAACAACCGGATTATCAAGTGCACATGCAAGAGCTTTCAAAAATCAGCTTGGATGCATTGAGCCACCAAGATTTTCAGCAAGGTTCCTGCACATTGCATTATCTTATCCTTCAACAAAAATCCCCACAAGTGTCGGTTAAGCCATAGCCATCCTGGCCCTCCACTAAAATCTCATCGCACAACCCGCGCCTTTCCGCCAGAAGATACGGCCATTCCCAAGCACCAAACCCCGATACAATCCTGATCGATCCGTCGTGGAAATTGCAGGGAACAATTAGCCTCCCGATGCAAATTGCAGAGAAGAAAAGGTTATCTGAATCCAATCGAGCCCCATTCCGTTGTTTCTTCAGTAAAGCGAAAGCATGATAAAGGCCGGTCAGTGAACGGCCGCTCTTGAGGCTATAAATACGGCCATGGAGGGAGCGCTCAGATTCCCCTTCTTCCCGCTCCCTGCACCTCTGGCCTCTGCCTCTGCCTCTCATCCCAATCCTGATAGTTTATGGGTGGCTGCACCCTGCACCTCTCCTAGCCCAAGACTTCTCTGCCTCCCTCTACCGTCTCCCACTGCTGTAGTACTCCTACTAAACTAGTACTGCAGCCGGGGTTGCTGGACTGCCAGTACTGATACTGATACTGACAGGTTGCGTCTGCGTCTACGCTGTAATGACACTATATACCTCTCCCTGCCCTCGCCATTAGTGACCACCAGTGCCAACCCGAGCTGCATTGCCTCAAGAACAGAACATGGCAATCCGAAGTGTTTGCGTCGTCCTTGCGCTGCTTTGTATATGCCTCAGAGGTAATTCGATCGTGGTAGAGGAAATCGAGTGAGGTTGATTGTAGGAGGAGTTCTTGTAATGGTGAGCTGAATTGACATGGTCCTTGTGTTGTGTTTGCTTGGTGCAGAGGGCGGAGCAGTGACATTCACGTTCCTGAACCGGTGCACGGGGACGGTGTGGCCGGGCATCCTGTCCAACGCCGGGACGGCGAGGATCGAGCCCACGGGCTTCGCGCTCCCGCCCGGCGCGGCGCGCGCGCTGCCGTTCCCGACCGGCTGGTCCGGACGGATGTGGGCGCGCACGGGCTGCGCGCAGGACGCGGCCGGGCGGTTCTCCTGCGCCACGGGCGACTGCGGCACCGGCACGCTGGAGTGCTCCGGGCGGGACGGGGCGACGCCCGCGACGCTGGCGGAGTTCACGCTGGACGGCGGCGGGCACAACGACTTCTACGACGTGAGCCTGGTGGACGGCTACAACCTGCCGATCCTGGTGGAGCCCGCGGGGAGCAGCGCGACCGGCACGACGTGCGCGGCCGCGGGCTGCTCGGCGGACCTGAACCTGCGGTGCCCCGCGGAGCTGCGGTCGGCGGGCGGCGGCGCGTGCCGGAGCGCGTGCGACGCGTTCGGCAAGCCCGAGTACTGCTGCAGCGGCGCGTTCGCCAACCCCAACACCTGCCGCCCCACCGCCTACTCGCAGGCGTTCAAGCTGGCGTGCCCGCGCTCCTACAGCTACGCCTTCGACGACCCCACCAGCACCTTCACCTGCGCCGGCGGCCGCGACTACACCATCACCTTCTGCCCCGTCGCCACCCCAAGGTCCATACTCCTGCCTTAGCCACTGCATTTAATCACTAGCTAAGGCTTGCTTTCGCGTGACGTCTAGGTCGTGCGTGGTTAATCACGCCATGATTTGCACGCACTGTTAGGTAAGCATGGGGACACGATCACGATGATGAGATCGGCATGGATGCTCTGGTTGGTGCCTGAGCAATGGGCACTCCATGTCACCTTATCTCGCATACAAAATGCTCGCGAGTGCGCGGTATTCCGATATGAGGTGCTTACGAAACGGCAGGGGACAGTGAGAGCGAGAGGCTTGAAAATGGAAGATAATGCATTGTGATGATCAGTCTGGAGTTACCAGTATATTAGTGGGTAGTAGATGCCTCATTCATGTTGCATTTAGTGGGTGCTTAGCTTGTCCAGGGAGGTTTGACCCCCTGTGGCTCTCACTTTTTACCGCCGTCGGTTTGCACATCAACGTCAGTCGTCCGAACAGGGCAGGGCAGGCATTTTCTTATCTTGTGATGAAGTCAGGAAAGACTAGGCCATATGAATGATGGCCGATGTCGCCATGAAACTGCCGTAACACTTTTGCGGAAGGCGGGAAAGGGTAAAAGAGAGCGCAAAAAACAACTTTCAGTGCTGGATTACGTTTCTCCTGATCCTCTTTTATTATTCGAGCATTCGCATCTGATCGTGAACTAAGCTCATCATGCTCCGCTATTCTTTCCGTGTGCAGCCTGAAATCGGCGGGTGGGGCGACGGTGGTGCCGACGCCGACGTTGCCGGGCTCGACAGGGTTCGCGCCCCCGGTGATGCCGAGGCAGGCAGGCGGCCAAGCCGACGGCCAGGGCGTGATACTTGGGGACAACTCCTGGCTCGCCAACATGGCCACCGGCGACATGTCGGCGGCGACGCCGAGGACGACGGCGATGATCCCGGCCGCGCCGCTCGCACTACTCTTCCTCCGGCTGCTTCTATAGCATCACGCCATTATTAGAAGAGAAGGACCCGCCATATCCGTCCATCCAAACAAACAAAAACAAAAAAACAGAGAAGTTAGAAGCTGAACAGAAGAACACACTGTTTGCAAGTCGGCACGGGCCACCGGAGCGAAAGCGAGACGGCGCGCTCCCCCGCCGCCGTCGGCGCTCGCGGAAAGAATGGGTCGTTGCTGATGTGCACGGCGAGTGGGGAATGAATGATTCGATTTGACCAAGATCGCCATTGTAAAATCCATCTTTTTCGTTTTCCTTTTTCTAGTTTGCACGGCTGTGGAGTACGAGTACAAAGGAAATATACTACTAGTAGAAAAGATTCTTACACGCATGAATGAGCCCGGCCCGCTGCCCAAGAGCTAATCTATGATTGTATATACCCACTCGCCGTCCACTTCTCCGGCCGATCGCTAGTGGCGAACAAACTATAGTAGAGGCTCAGGCTAAACCTGATCGATGCACTTATTCTGGGATTTGCTCTCAAAGCTATGATATGCACGAAGCGAAGATTAGGCTCAAGTTCACATCGTTTCAGTAATGGAACAGGACGTACAAATGCCTCTCATGTTATCTCTGCTCTGTAGTGCCACAGTGCTTCGCTTACCGCACTGTTGATGTCGCTGATTTGCCATAACCATAGCCAGTCAGAGACGTGGCAGCTCCATCCATTATCACTGACAGTCTAGCTGCCAGACACGCATAATAATGCTGGAACATTCACCAAACATTTGCTCGCAGCTAGCTGATGATTGACACTCAATCAACAGCAAGGAAGACGAAACGAGTGGCCCGGTAATGGCCGAGTTGGCGACATGGGCTGAAAACACTAGAATACCACTCCTACCACGACAAACTGCACAAGAAAAGTCAGTAGCGTGCAGATTGATGGCGCAAGCTTTGGTGTTCGGCACATGGGGTGTGCGGCGCCATCGGGGAGGACCGGCGGACAAGATGCCGGGCCGGCGGGCGTGCGTGCGTGGTGGCCTTGTGGGGAGGGGAGGGGAGGACATGGATGGGCACGGCCGGCGGTGGTGGCCGTTGCCTTCGTTTGGTCCACTGCTTTTTTTGGTGAGTGTGGCCAAAGGAAGGTTCAGTTCGGCTCGGTGCCTACTCTTGTTCCTGCCTACGAACGGACGAACGGCGTCGTACAGTACCTACCAGAATCATATCACCTTTAGCCTCCGCATGCTGGATGTTATTCCGTGTGGGGCAATAGTGACCTACTCATCTTGCTTGGGAGGTTCAGATGCAAGCAATCGGTAGGTTGCAGGGAAGTTCATAGTACCTACCAACTATTTCCATGGCGATTTCGGTTGCCCGATCCACGCGACGGGACACGCAGGGTGACCTACATCGGAGAGGGGTGAGGCGGCCATGGTTTTAGCTCGGAGACCCGTCGGCTTTCCGTCGCCGAATCGACCGGTTTCTCCGATATGGCGGTGTAGCTGATGGACCTGGGGATCGCCGGGACTGCCGGAAATCTGACTTAAACTGGTGCAAGCAAGGCCACATGTTACTTTGAGGCAGAGGCGACGCCATCGCACGAGGCTGTGGGCTAACGGCGACAGGGATCGGCCACCGACCGGGTCGTTTTCCTGCTGACGACGAGACCAACTTCCGAATCCGATACGCGACTTGGATCTCCCGTTAGAATACGAGCACCGTTAGATCATCGTCACTGCAGCTGTGCCTCAAATTAACAAGCACTCGTATTAGAAAAGGCTCAACACAGCATTAAATAAAGAAGATAAATACGGGCTTATGGTTGCGTTAAGTAGGTATTCAGAGGCTAGTATATTCGGCACTCTTGTGGTTGTGGTGCAGCAGCACTGTCTGTCACCGCCTCTCTTTCTGCCAAATAGCACTACACTTTGCAGGTGGTTGTGTGCTTGGCCACGGCGGTTGCTTATGCTTGCACTTGCACGCTCACCTTTTTGGTTGACTCCCATGTTGCTCATGAACTGGAAGGGAGATCAGCTCTGATTTCAGTTTGTTAAGCCAGGCCGAGGAATCTTGAGCGAAAAGTTGAGTGCATTGGCAACAATCCGGTGATAAAAGGATCCCAAAGGGAAATCCTTTTTGGTGGCAAAAGGGGTGTATATACTTGTAAAGAGGACAGAGGGAGAGAGAGAGAGAGGGAGAGAGAGAATAATGGATCGGTGCCGCCGACAACAGTTAAAACAGGCTGGTTGCCTTTGATAGATCCATCGTTATGGAATGGAACATGCATGCCTTCCTCGGATCCCCCGTCCATGCAATCAGCATTGCCACCTCACATGCACGCATGCTTAGCGACTGAGAATAGGCCATCATTATGCTGCTATCGGTTGTCACATGGCGCGTTGGCGCATCTACCCTCGGCGAGCGGATGATTGACAGGATCTCAACACGATTAAGTAGAACCGCAGACGATCTAGCTCGATTATCACTCAAAGATGCCCCGATTTCAGTGTAGCGATACCAGGTTTCAGAGATAAACAGAGTTCTATCGATAACGAGCTAGGGTTCTACGCTAGAGCTAGCCTATTGCAAGCTTGGGGAAGAGGTTGATGCGGTACACCGATGGCGGAGAGGGTTTAATAGCTAAGGGAAGCTGGCGACCACGGCAGCTAAATCTAAATGAGCTGTCTGTCAGTTCATTGTAGCCTTCATTATTGTAAAAACCTTCTACCTGCCTTGCAGAAACGAAGGGGTACAACAAAATACAGAGGGTTACTAGTAGCAGGTAAAGACTAAAGAGGACCAGTGTGTCAGCGCCCTCGCCGCACCCAGCGTCACCAACGGGCCAAGTCCACACGGCAGCAGCTTGCGTGGCGCCGCTGCTGCCCAACCAGCACCACGGGCTCGCAGGCCCAACACCCGCGTCACTGGGCCCGAATGGACTAAGTGAAGCCCAGGCGAGGCGGCCACTACTTAAGGCGAGACCACCGACTGGATCGGCATCCAGTGGATCAAGGCAACAACGGCGGCAGCTACCCTAGTTCCATTCCCCTCTCTGTAATCACAATTTCCCTGTAATCGAGATATTGGACTCGAATTCGTGAGTGAGATCAAGCTAGTTCGAAGAATCCCTACTCTGTACCTTACATCTGGTATCAGAGACCAATCCCACCCCCTTCCACCGTCCACTCTGACCAAGATCATCGAGACGCGGCGACTGCGCCAAGCACGATCACAGCTCGTCGCCATGGATCCAACCGTTGAAGCTTTCCTCGAACGCCTCGACAATACTCTCAAGGCCCAGAACAAGGCCATCGCCGAGATCCAGGCGTCCACAGCCAAAATCGACGACCTCGTCCATTGGCGACCCGATCTGGAGAAGCGCGTCTCCGATCTGGGCGACGCGGTGGCGGCGCTCCAACTCGCGCAAACCAAGGAGATCGAGGGGAATCGAGCACCCGCATCGAGCTACATCCCGCCAGCGACGACCGATACCCACCTCGGGGCCGGGACCGGCACGGCCGACGCTCCTCAAGGGCCAAATGGCCACGGCGTCTTCAACCTACCACGGGGGCCCCCGGCGGTGTCATTCCAGACGCCGCCCCGCCCCCGGCATCGGGTCAGTTCAATTCCCTGGCGCCATCTCCTTCCTCGTTGTCTCCCTTCGCTCATGCCAGTCAACTCCTCTCGGGACTGGGACAAACGCACCCGTCCATTTCGTTTCCTCAATTTACGGGAGACAACCCGAATCTATGGAAAACATTGTGCGAGCAATACTTCCAGATGTTTGGGATTTTACCATCGTTTTGGGTCCCCATGGCAGCTCTGAATTTTCCAGGGGCAGCCTCTGTTTGGTTACAGTCCATTCAGAAACGACTCGGGGATTATGATTGGGATGCTTTTACCACACTCCTTTGTGCTCGTTTTGGGCGCGATCGGCATCAAACGCTGATCAGGCAGTTTTACACTGTCCGCCAAACGGGTTCAGTCGCTCAATACATAGAGCAATTTGAATTGATCATTAATCATTTATCTTCGTATTCTGACACAATTCATCCCTTCTATTTCCTGACCCGTTTTGTCGAGGGGCTACGGAAGGACATACGAGCGGTGGTGCTCGTCCAGAGGCCGCCGGACTTGGACACCGCGTGTGCGTTGGCCTTGCTTCAGGAGGAAGTGGCCGACGGCGTCTTCGGCAACCTGCCGCGCCCACCGGATGCGGCGCCGCGCGCGGGCACACCCCTGCCCTTGCCTCCTCCTTCGGCACGTCTGGTGCCCGCTGCACCTGCAGCGGATCGCCGGGGCACCGAAGCTGCTCGAGCGGACACGTCAAAGATCAAGGCTCTCAAAGACTACCGGCGCGCGCGAGGGTTGTGTTTCAAGTGTGGTGAGCGCTGGGGACAGGATCATGTCTGCCCGACCACCGTCCAATTGCACGTGGTAGAAGAAATGCTCGAGCTATTCGGCGTTGAAACCAGCAATGAGGTCGAGGGAGAAGTACAACAAGTTCACGCGATCTCGCGACCAGCTCTTGATGGTGGTGTGTCACCCAAAGCGTTCCAATTGCTGGCAACCATGCAATATCAGGAGGTGCTCATTTTGGTGGATAGTGGGAGTTCCACATCTTTCATCAACCAGCGTCTGACCGAACGCTTGTCAGGGGCCCGAGCTCTGCGCCAGCCATGTCGGGTCAAAGTAGCTGATGGAGGTGAACTAGTCTGTTCGGCATCTATTCCCGATTGCCAGTGGTCGTCGCAAGGATTGGAATTCGTCACGGATATGAAGATTTTACCGCTCGGAGTGTATGATGCCATTCTTGGGATGGATTGGCTGGAGCAACACAGCCCGATGACTGTTGATTGGAGGAACAAGCATTTGCGTATCCCAACAGCTCTCGGGCCAGCCAGTTTGTTCGGGCACGAAGCGCAGTCCACCCAATGCCATGTCATCAACAGTGCTCAGCTGCAACAACTGCATCGACAGGGGGCTCTATTGCATCTTTGTCTGCTCTACCCAATCGACGAGAAGCCGAAACACTCAGTGCC